TCCTCCATATTATCTGAATAGTGATTCATAGACTCCATACAAATTAATATCAGTAAGTTATGAGTGCTTTTAGCTACAGACATCCATAAACCAGATGTGGAATTACCTGAATTCACACCTAGCTATGAACTTTGACTTATCTTGTGATAGATTAACCACCTTTTAGCTCACCATGGTGGTTGATGACTATTTCTATGACATTTGAAAGGTGAGATTCAGGAAAACTATAACCTTTTGCCTTGATGCTTATAAAAAGTTATGTCAATGTTATAAAGCCTATTTTTTGATGAGTGAATCATTATACACAAGGGATGTAATGAAATGGCTAAACCATGACATTTCTGTGTTTCAAATTACAGTTAGTTAATTTGAGAGAAAGGAAACAATCAAGGAATGGAATGAAACTGTTGAAAGTTTATGGCTTTAATATTTTGAAGAGCCACAGTGGCTCAGTGAGTTAATTGTTCGTTCGCTAACCTGAAGATCCAGGGTTCAATCCTGACATAGGTCCAGATAATACCTTCGGGTTTTTCAACCCGGTTTCACCCTGTCAGTGATGCGGGTAAGAGGGGCTGATATGGAAAAAGCATCTAGTCTTTCAGATAGGACAATATCCCTAGGCCCTGTGTGCTGCAAGATGTGCACATGAAAGATGCCTCAACAGTTGAAAATGGAAAAAGAGCTGGCTTATCCATATGGCAAATTTCCGTCATCGCACCCTGCATAGCATTACAGTCTTCATTAGCGCACATGGTGCAGAAAAGTAGGACATAAAACTCCATTCATTTCATTTATGATATTTTGAATTTAACAGAAGACATTATTAAGTTCTTGTATCGCAAGGGATAGGGTGTTAGATTATATTATAATAAGATAATTCATTTACATTTGTATATATGAAAATGTTTCTACTCAATGGTAATTTACAACCATATGTACAAATTAGAATAGAATTACCTTGTTACATCCCATTTAATTAGTGTTGAATGTATATCAAGTAGTATGGATGGTCAAACAGAAGTAATGATGAAGGTTTTTACTTTTTATCATACATCTGCCTTGTACTCCCAAAGGTATTCATGAATTTTATTAGGCCTCTAAATTTTTCAGTTTCCCTTAAACATTACATGAAATAAGTCTCACTTCTGACTACATACCTACATTATATACAACTAATGAAAGTGATGAAAATTGGCAACTAGATATTAGCTTATTATAGTTCATCATTGAATCAAGCTTGGAAAGATGTAACTATCTGTTTTACAAGAACTTATTCTTTTGCCAACCACTTCAGATATAAAATCATTAAGATATTAGCTAGTTTTGAAATGGGGTAAAGTTTTTACATATTGGAATTAACTTACGAGAAAAGCATGAGAACTCACAAAAATATATGGGAGACTCTTGCATAAAAACTTGGGTGGGTTGAGATTGGGGCTCATGCCAATTTTTTGCCTTCAGTAATTTAGACTAAAAAAGTGTAAAAGGATATGATCTCCGAGTTTGTCCTCAATATTAAGGAAGTATATTGTTAACCTTACAGCATGTGGGTGGTATTATGATCTATTTAAGATATAAAAAAATGTAACTGTGGAGGAGTGATAAAAAGTCATGTGATAAACTTATATTAACCCTAGTTTTAAATGCTTATTGTCTAATTTTATTGGTTTGAACTTTATACCTCTACATTTGATGATGCTAGTTTCGTTTCTATTCATCTCATGTGACTATGACAATTTTTTCCATCCGGACTGATTTAATACCTAATTATGGTAACCCCTATATATTGTGGACTTTGTACCTGAATTTTTTTTATTAAATGGTATAGTAATTTTCATCTATCATATGACTATGACTAATATATAGATCTCAATGGAAAAGTGCCGTAGCTGAAATTTATTTTGTACTTGTTCAGCATTATCAATTGCTTTAATTTATGGGAAACTCAGTGCTTAGTGAATAGTAAATTACCTTAGAATCCATGATGATATTTTGAAACTGTCAAAATTTTTTTTAAATGAATGACGACTTCAACACATAAATAAAGTAGTACATGAATAAACATAGTTTTAGTGGGTTCACATTTGAGATATATATATACATGTATAAGCTTATATAACTGTATCACTTTTCATAAAGTAAATTGCAGTAGAGTAATATTACGAATACGTTAGATCTATATTTATAATGATAAGCAACATGATTATATTCTTAAACATTCAATGTTTCTGATTAAAATTTTATTACCAATGCTGAATTGGGGATTATTCAAGCATAGAATTAAGTGTTATTTATGTTATGTAGTGTAAAAAGGTTTGCCTATTGACCTTCCTACATATATTTATAACCTACAATACTCAGAAATTAGGTTAAACTTACAATTTATCCTGTAATAACCTACTTTTCTGTGATAACCTACTAGATATATATGAATTGATATTCTAAATTTTAAAAAAACTACTATTAATAAAACAATATGTATTACGATCAGCCAGAGAAACCAATATTAGAAAATTCAAAACTGGTCCCTTCCTTTTTTTTCTACTAGGGAAAAAACTGGTCTTGACTCTGAAATAACTAATTTTTAAAGAAAAACGCCTTTTAATAACGGTTTTAACCATTTAATACAAGCAGTTGCTCTACCTATCAAAGCATTACCAAAGCAGCTGATGAAGTATCTGTTGCCAAATTACATAGGACTAACGGACTAACCTTAAGCATTCCATGTTCATGGTGTTCGGGTTTTTTTTTGGTGTGTGCACTTTTATCTTTTGAACCCAGTGGACCCTACAAATTTTTCAATGACGATGAAACTAATGATGTATTTTTTTGTGTTTTTCAGTTGAAGAGTGTTGGTCCAAAACTGGTGCCATTTTTCAAGACTGTTTCTATCTTCTTTGTATTATTTGGTGAAGAGTCACATCCATCAATATTTTATTGTATAGTAAAATGTCTGCCAATTATTTCACTGATGTTATTTGTATTACTACACGGAATGAGTCTCAACGAATATTACCGATACGCCAGATACATTCTTATTGGACTATTTTTCTCTTGTCTGGGTGATGCTTTTCTTGTTTACAAAAAGTATTATTTCGAAGTCGGCATTTTGATGTTTGCCATTGCCCAAATTTACTATTCACGAGCATTTGGTTGGCGGCCATTTAATCCTTACGCTGGAACTGTATTTTTAGTGTTGGGATGTATTGTGTATTCCTACATAAAAGATGGAATTGATGATTATGTATTAAGCTATATCGTTGGATGTTATGTGGCATTGATCAGCACGATGGCCTGGCGAGCTGTTGCCAGAG